AGAAAAACATCTTCTGGAGACAGAACATCTGTAAATCTAAATCCATCTTTTCTCCCTCAGCTTCAGTTCCCTCTTCTAGAACAAATATTCTCAAAATATGATCAGTGTACATTGGAATAACTTGAAGAGCATGTTGAATCATGCAGATTTCCAGGACCCTCTCTGTGGGATTTCAACTCACCTGGCTCAGGAAGCCACTTTTTAATTAGTATTCTCCTGAACCAGATTTGGGCTATACTTTGAGAAACATTAGTTTAGGAACCTGGAATCACTTACAGTTCTTCCACCTTTGGAAGAGAGCCTGCATTCTGACAACCCTGTTCCTGAAAATCCTATCTCTGTCCACGTTTACACATCAAGTCATATTTCCTCACTGATTTACCTGATAATTTCTTTATTTCCATTTTAATGAATTCCAATACATAGTGAAGCATAAATTTCAAGTTCCTTTAGAGTAGTGCTTTTCAAGCCATGATGGCGTTCAAAGGTAAGAACTGGTTTGCCTACTCTGTATATGTCTGTCTCAATTTAATGTGTTTATTGGACTCCTTTAGGAAAGCTGTTATCAAATTTTGGCATGTCTCAAAATCACACCTGGATCAGGATAAGGGAAAATGCTTATTTAAAATAAAGATTCATAGGCTTCCTGGGTGCAGTCCTACCTCAGGCCCAGGAACCTGTGTTTTAACAAGTTATGTGATTCAGGTACAGTTAGTCACTTGGCCAAGTTTGGAGCCATCCAGCCTCAGAACATTTTTCTAAATTTCTGTAAAACTGAAAATCATGTACATATGTAAGTTGTTTGGATTTTGATTATTTAATATAAATAAAGAGTCTCTAAAATATGTCAGACTTCAAATAATTCAGCCCTTTCACTTTTTAGAGGAGGAGACTGAGATTCAGAGAGGTGACATGACTTGTCCAAAACCATGGCTGGACTCACACCCAGCTGGAACACTCACTCAGCCATAATCCGATGGTCTCCCAGGAAATTAGAGCTCATATTTCACTGTGTTCATGCCCATGTATCCCAAACAGCAGATGCTCCTGAGACTGGTGGGTGGAGGGATGGAACCAGTAGCCTCCCTATATCCTCTGCAGGTTCCCAGTCAAGAACCACTGGTCTAGGGTGTTAGGGATGCCACAAAGGGATGTCCTGAAATTCAGGAGCTCTGATGGGGCTGCCTCCCTTTACCTTCAGAGAGTTGGAAATTTCTAGAGGTGCTGTATGTGGTGAAGGAGATAAGTGACTATTTTTTAAAAGGTGGATGTTAGGTGCATGAGTTCATTTTGTTTTTTGTATCCCTTAAACAGCAATACATTTCATAATGAAAAAAACTTTAAAAAGGAAAGAAGGGGTATGAGTGAGAAGGAAAAAATCTCGAAGTGTGATAGAAAAGACAATCATTTTGCTTTGGAATGATGAGATCACAAGATCAGCACAGAGGACTTGTCAGATCGTGGTGTAGTTCTGCGGGTGGCTTTCATATTTTGGAAGAGTTGCAGTTATATCTCCCATTGCACATCAGGAAAACTTTCAAACATTAAAAAGGCAACCAATATAGAAGAAAACATGAGAAAATTATTTTGTAACCTTAAAAAAGGGGACTTTTGAGTTATGACTCAAAATCCAAAATGTTTAAAAATGATTAGTATATTTGACTACAAAAAGTTAAAGTCTCTATGGAGAAAATATCATCAGCAAGTTTAAAAGACAAAGAAACCATGAAAATCTCGTGAAAATATTTGTAATCACACCAGAATGTAAACGTCATCCCTCTAATTAATAAATTATCCAGAAAAAGACCAACTTATCAATGGAAAACATGATGAAAGAAATTATGGGTAACTAATACATGAAAAATGTGTTCAAAATTTATTGATAATAAAAGGTGCAAGTCAAAAAACATGTCGGCACATTTGTTTACCTCAGCAAAATTTGGGGAGGTAGTTTACACAGTATGTTGGCAAAATACCTAATTGTTTGATCAATTTTGCATGCCTATATGCCTAATTGATCAATTTTGCATGCCTATGTCTGGTCATCTGAAGAACTACTTTGAAGATAACAATATGCAATATAACAACCATTGTTGATTTCTTATGTTGTTTTGAAATTCTGTATCATTCTCATTTTTTTTTATTCTCCTTAAAATTAAAAATAAGACTTATGGGAAATGGGCTCCCGTATATTGATGTAATAAATATGAAGTTCCTTTCGAGAGAACTTGTCAGTATCTGTCAAAATGACAACTACTTATAGTCCTTGACCCCTTTTTCAGGATACTTTATTTAACACTACATGAAACATGTTGCAAAGATATTCCTTGCAACATTGTTTGCAATAGCAAAAGACTGGAAATAATCTAAGGTTGTGGACTCATACAGAAAGATCTGGAAGAATATGCTGGTCTGACTAGAGAGTAATGTGGTTACTGTACAGGGAGAGAGCTAGGTAGGTAAGGAACAATGTGGACGACATCGCTGTCCATCTTTCCACATATATTTTTATTTTGGAATCGTGTATGTGTTATCTAGTCAAAATTTAATTTAATTTACTTAAGTAACCAGGATCCTTTTAACACATGTGGTTTCCCTAACACTAACCCCAGCAAAACTGAATCTCCAAGATCAAGCACTGCTATGCACTCACCCCTAAGGGTTATTCTAAATTATTTCTTAAAGAAAGACTCAAATCCCATTAGCTCTAGTTTCTGAGTTTAGAGTAACATTGCAAAGCATCACCCACATGAGAGATTGAGTATAGAGTGACCCACCATCTGCCCCAGTGTTCTAAGATGGATGTCATAGTTATTATTCCAGAAAACAATTTGTAAAATCTACAGCCAGGATTGGTTTCCATTTCTGTAATCCTTTGGGAGGGATATTATAGATAGGGAAAAAGGAAAAAGGAAAAAAATAACCCATTTTGAGCTCTGGATGATTGAGTGGATGAAGAGGGAGGTAGCCAGGCTTCAATCACTGTTTCCCCATTACGTTGTCATCCCCATTGCATTGGTGGTCTGTCTGAAGCAACAATACAGATATGGATTAAAATACCAAGTGAAAACAAACAAAAACTCTGTACCCATGACTAAGGTGGAAAGTCAGCAAAAATCTGTCTTTTCTGGTATTTACTCAAGTTAAATATATGCACAGTCTATGACCCAGTAATTCCAGTTGTTGGTTTACACCAAGGAGAATACACTCACTTACACAGCAAAATACATGTGTGAGAATGTCCTTACAAGCACTACTCATAATACCCCAAAACACGACATTACCCAAGTGTTCATCAAGATCGGAAGAGACAGATAAATTTGTGGCATATTCCAACCAGGAAATTCTCTACCACGGTGGGGATGACAGAACTGGAATTACATGCAATAATCTCACACACAGAATGTTGAGCCTAAGAAGACAAACAAAAAAGAGAACAAATGGTATTTTATTTATATGTTGAAAAAACCACCAAAAAAAGAATCACTGGTTTTAGGCAGTGAGGATGGTTCGTGGAAGAGGGTACTGGGGATGTTCTTGGATGATCATTTCCTACAAAGCCATCAAGCCACAAACCTTAATATTTGTAATATTTACATTTTTGTTATGCTTTAATTTAAAAGTTAAAAAAATTATTCCAAGCCAGAATGAGCAGTGTATGAATTCATTTTGGATAAGTCATGGGCTTAAATTCCAAATAAGTGCTCTTCTAGGCCCTGTTGAGATACCAACGAGATTCCAACAGTGGCTGAAAGGATAAAATGCTCTTGGCCAAAGTGCCTGAGGGATTATGCAGAGTCCAGCCTGGATGGTCCAGGAGGTCCCTCGCTCCCCAGCCAGACAAAGCAAGCAGCACAGCCTTTCCAACTGGCCTTCAGAACAGCCAGCACACACGAAAGTCATTTACTAAGCTGAAGAGCACACCTGCAGTCAGGTGTCAGGGTCAGGCATCCCTGACGAATGGAATTCCTATGGAAGTTAATTTTCTGGATAGTCAAAATTTCTCTCATTAGAGAACTCCTCTGTTAAAAGCAAAATCATTTTAATGGAATCCTTTCTAAATTATATTTCACAACCTCCTGACTTCTTCAGATCCATGGAATAGAATTTAACCTATACAAGAAACAGGAAGACCAACAGTTAGGTCATCTGTGTGCCAGGCACTGCCCAAAGTACTTTCCATCAAATTTCCCCTTCCAGTTCTCACAACATATTTATAAAATTGGTCCTATTCTTCCTGCTTTATGTGTGAGGCTTAGGATGATTAAACAACTGTCCTAGGTCACATAGCAAACACAGTGAGGGAGAGTATACCCACTCTCTAAGCCCTCACCTTGGGACCACTGTATCGTGTTTTCCCTGTGGATTTACGGGTGATTGATGGGGTGCATGCTACACTTCAGTGTCAATGGGTAGATAAGAATGCTAACTGTACCTTTAGGGGGTGGTTTGTATTTTCTTTCTTCTTCACCGTTTTTTATTTTTTTCCTGCAGTGCTGGGGATTAATCCCAGGGTTTCACACAAAGTGCTGGGTAAGTGCTCTTTCACTGAGCTGAACTCTCAGCCCCCTTCATCAATATTACACTGACTTCCATAAAACTATATTCAGTATGTTACACTCACTGCCCCCCATCAAAGGAAATGCCTACCCAAAATCTGATTTTTAGAAATTCTTGTTTCCATTTCTTTAAATTCTCACTTCTTAGGTCTTTTGATGTGGCTAAAATATCCTGTGGTGTTGGGCCCACTTCTTTATTAGTTTAAGAAACCCCTCTCGTTTGCTGCATTTCCAAGTGTGGTGGATTTGCTTTTACTAAACACAACTCAGGGAGGCTCATCAGATTAACAAAAACATCCCTCCACTGGGGTCCGTCTGGCCGGCAGCCACTCTCCGGAAAAATACACAGCAGCAAAGATAAGCATCAAGCCATGCAGAGTCAATTTTGGCAAGGTCTATCAGCCAGCGGGACTGCTGAGAAAAAGAAACTAGTGTCCTTACCCTGTTTTCAAGCTGACCAATGCATCCTCCACTCCCTTCTGATTAAATTTGGTCATGTACTGATGCATGTAGGGGTAGTTATTCCGAATGTTCCTCTCTGTGCTTCCATTAGGTACCGTCCCAAAGCGAAAAGGCGGGGAATAGTCATGAGGTCTCTGAAACTGAAGAGAGAGAAAGAAGACAGGAGAAGAGGAGAAGGAGGAGGGCACAGGAGGGGTGAAAGAGGAAGAAGCAATTAGCTATGATTTCATTACTTGTCAGGAGTTAAATATGAGTTCATTCATGCAGGACAATTAAAACACATTTATTTTTGTGCTTTCTTTGTACTTAATCACAGTGTCCATTGGTCCGTGAGCTCCAGTTAGATTGGGAACAGTGTATGTATTTTTGGTAATGTCCCTAAGTTCCCAGCACAGGACCTAGTTGTGTGCTCAGTAGATATTGGTTGGGGTGAATTGTCATATGTTGTCAAAGAAACGAGCATACACTCTTCCTAAATAAATGTTTAGCCCAGTGCATTTATCTGCTTTATGAAGAAGTTTCCTGTGATCGCCATCAACCACCCCTTTCTCTAAAAACCATTACCTTTGCACCCACCAGAAAATAACTCTGTGTTGCCATTCACTCATCCTCCACTCACTGGCTTATCCTGTCATCCCCACAGGCAGTACTCATTGAGGGCCTTGCATACCCCAGGCACAGTGCCTGACCCACAGCAGGCTCCCTGACTATTTGCAAAGCCGAAGTCCCTACTGATTCATTAGCTTCCAGGGGATGTCCAAGTCTTGGTCTGTTCTTGGGCTTTCATAAAGCATGTTGTGCTTGCACCAGGAGTCTCCCCTGACTAACAGATATTGTCTGCATCATCCCTCAAGAAAACTAGGGTGTTTAGCAGCACGTCCCTAAAACACCTCTTTGGAGATCCCAAGACTCCTGCCTTGTCAAGGAAATATTGTAAGAAGGGGTCAAAGGAGGTCCTACAAGAGGAAATGGGGACCTTGACTCATCCCATCTGTGGGATAGGTTGTAGGTTCACTGACTTATGCCCCAGAAAGACATTACAGGACACGTCAGTCAGAAGCATTAGAAAGGTTCATTAGGCAAACCAGTGTATGCACTCAGAGAGGATGGAATGCAGGCCCTCAAGATAGAGGCACACGATGGTCTGAGAATGGGGGTTTTTATGTGGTCTTGAGGGTGTCCTCAGGATGGGTGATGTGTATTCCTACAGTCTGTCAGACCGCCCATTTTGTGCTAGGCTAGAATGCAAACTATTTACATGTGTTTGGAGTGTAGAGCAGTGCTGTCCACTTAATACCAGTGCTGCTTCCTTAAGGATAGATGTTTGTGAGAAGAACCCTTTGCAGTTGAAAAGCATGGGCTCCAATTTAGAGGCTTATTTGGTCTTTAAGACCCCTAAGAATTTTTTTTTTAGTGTGTTTCCTAGAAGGGAAAAAGGCATTGTAAATTTGGGTGACTTTTATGTCCTGAAACTGCAGCTCTTCTCAAAAACGCAATACTAAAATTACAATTTTTGTTATCTACCTATCTTTACTGCCTATCTTTATTTCTTCCATCCTACCTCACGTGGACAGGAACCAGACCACTATGATAAGTATTATCTGAGGGACACTGGGAACTGGACAAACCAGTGTGATCTGTAGAACCGGCCTTCCTGCTTGTGTGCTAAATCAGCAGTTCTTTGAAATTCTGGTTATACAACAGAACAAAGCCGGCTAATGGTGTCACTGTGTATGAAGCTCAATCTGTAATACCCACCTCCCTGCAATAACTAGGTGTGGATCAGAGCAGTATGGACTCCTCCAGCCCAGGCTGCTGCCGTGGTATACTGTGTTCCCTCAGGCTATTTTCCTGGCTGGCATGCTGCCCTCAAACCTTCTGGTGATTGGCTAGTCTAACTCCCTGTCACTACACATTCCAAGTACCTCCTGGCCACTTCCTGTCCAGCTCACTGCGACTGGACCCTTCCCTCTCTGCTAGCAAGCCTTAAATAACCCTATCTCTCACAAGCCATATCTCCAAAGAGTACACCACAGTCCTGGCACAGCTGTGGATGAGACACTGTCCTTCCTCAACTCTGATCTTTCGGGACCTCAACCTGGGTAGAAGTCAAAAGAACTAATTCTGAGTTCCAGAAATACAACTGAAACCTAGAGACACGTCTGGAGGGGTTGCATGTGTGCTCAGACTTCCTGGTTGGAAAGTAAAACTGTCATTTACAAACTATGCAACCTTAGACAAGTCACTTTACTTCATGCTGCCTCTATTTTCTACCTGTAGAATGGAGCTCTTCAAAGTACTTTCCTTATAGGGTCACTGTGAAGAAAAAAAACCACATTTCTTAAATAACTGGAATAGTTCCTGGAACCAAATAAAAGTTCAAAAGTAAAGCTCTTATCACTTTTTGTTTTTTATGACTGTTACAGGGAAAGAGGGAACAGGCTGTGCTTTCCTATGAAATATGGAATTCTGGAACTAGAAATTAGTGATAACGATGAGTGGAACTTTTTGAAGACTTAGTTGGAGCAAACATGGTGCCAAGTAGTTAATCCTCAGGATAGTCCTGCTGGGTGGCTAATCTTAGAGGCTTCATTTTTACAGATAAGGAAACAGGCTCAGGGAAGTTGCACGAACTATTAACTAAAAGTGGTCCAAAATTCAAACCTAGACATGCTTGACCACAGGCTACAGTCTTAACGCTATCATTCATCAGAAATCATTGCTAGTGTCTCTTTCCTTAGTTAGACATGGGGACCTGCAGACCCAGACAGGAAGAGGATACCTGGCATGTTGGTGTTAACACCCGGCCTATGATGTAAAGGTCTCTCCAACTCCCAATCCAGCATGTCTTCCACAGAACCAAGAACAGTCAGAGAGGGCATCCAAGTTGCCCAAGAGTCAGGCCAACCAGAAACATTACTCTTTTCTCTACGCTCTTGCTTCATTTCACTGTTAATTAAAATTTCCAGTTGAAAACTGTTTTCCTTGCATTCACCATGCTGCTGCCTAATAAGCAGCCATAACTGGATTTGGGAGAAGTAGCAATCCATTGTCCAAATGAGATTCTCCTTCCAGAACACACTTTGCAGTGTGTGTGTGTGTGTGTGTGTGTGTGTGTGTGTGTGTGTACAGAAAAACACTCTTCACAGTCACTCAGCCCTGTAACATCCTCACTCATCACCCAACTTGAAAGCACAAGCCTGGGCTTATTTTCAGGAGTGCCTGCTCTGGGGAACAGTGGTAATAGCACTGTTCATAAATCTCACATTCTAGCAGCCACTGATGATCTCCCGAGATACCCAGAGACAGCCTATTTGACTAAATGCCTCCCACTTCACTCCCCATCTGTTGCTGAGGAACGATACAGCTCTTTTACGATTTGCTTCTTTCCTGTTTCTGATTTTCAGTGATAGTGTCTTGGTTACTTTTCTCTTGTTGCTGAGACAAAATATCTACTGCCCAAAATTAAGGAAGGAAAGGTTTATTTAGCTCCCAGTTTGTGGGAGTTTCAGTCCATAATCGGCTGGCTCCAAGGCAGGGTGGCACATGGCAGGGGGCAACAGTTCATGGCAGCAGATAACAGCAAAAGCAGCAAGAGCAAAAGGGAGGAGCAGAGCAGGAGAGCAAGCTTCTTTCCCTCCTTTATATTGTGTGCAGGCGACCTGCCTCAGGGCAGGTGTAGCACTCACACCCATAATCCCAGCATTGGACCATGAATCAATCAAAAGCTCTAGAAGCCCCACGACTGCATGAGGCTTTGGGGAGACATCCAGACACAAACCATAATAGAAAGGGACAGACAGTCTTGGGGACATTCTCACACTTCTCTGGCATTGATATATCATCCCTTACATAATATTCAATCCAAGGTCACATCCAGAACCTTTCCCACTAGAACTAAGACTATCAAACTTTTGAAAGCATCACTCACAATATACTTATTACCACCCTGTACACACACACATACACACACACACACACACACACACACACACCTCACAGGACTCACTCTTTCTACACGTGATATAGTCTGATATTATCTATTATGTTCATTTTTTTCATGGTCACTCACAACCTAAAATTAATAGCATGGTTCACAAAAAAGCCATGACCTACAGTGTGAAAAGTTAGGAGCAAGGATGGCTCATCTCTGATGCCCACGTCTGCACTGAAGACACTGAATGTTTCCTACAGGAATGATGTCTGGTGCAGCTTCTTCTAGAGCACTACATGTGCAAGCAGAAAGGAACACATGTGGGTTTTAGCAAAGGAAGGGGTAGTGCCCATGTTCCAACTGTCAGCAGGGCCATGGAGCAATGTCATCACAGGGCTCAGAGTCCAGAGATCTCACATCTTCTCTCAAGAGTGCCCTGGCTGGATCTTGGGCTTAGGGAAGTCTCAGTCAGTTTTTCATCTCCCACTTAGGAAGTGCATAATTTGGGGGCAGCCCATTAAGCTCTCTGAGCCTCAGTCTCTCTATCTGTAAGCTTGGGTTCACTTTTGCAATTGCATAGTACTTAGAAAAACAACCAGTACCCTCTACTCCTTCACATGTATCATATTACATATTACATTTTAATTACATGTATATTACTCTTGAGAATCTGCCATCACCCAGAATAGCCATAGCCAAATAACACAGCCAGTATCTCTTCAGTTTTGAGAACATAGGACCACTTTGTGAAATTCTTTTCCCCTTCAATGTGGAGACAAGTCTGAAGGTCATCCAGCAGAATAAAATATGGCAAACATTTATAATGGAGAGGTAGAGAGGTGGGGCTAGTAAATACAGTTTTTAAGAAAATGCAGCAATTAACTAGGAAATTTCTTTATTCTTATTATGAACTGAAAGTTACACATTTAGCAAAGCTACCTGTCTGTCTTCTGTATCTGTAAATAAGGGACATCCGGCAAATAAGAGTACCTATTTCTAGCACACTCTTTGGTGGGGAAGTGGTGCATGTTTGATGTGAGCACAAACAGGTGTGGCCTTCAGCAGAGGACAGTTGGCTCAGGCCTGCCTGCCTGGGAGAGACCACTCAGCAGTGCAATCACAGTGCACAGAGGCAGTCTGACTCCTTGAGAACACAAACATGGGCTCATTTGCTAAGCAAAGTCCTTTACACTTCCTTCACAGGCTGTTGCAGAAGACCAGCTCAGAACAGTAGCATTCTAAACCTTAGATGTGAGGAATGGTTTGAGTCAGGTAGTTATGATGACTATGAAGAAAGAGAAGAAGAAGGAGGGAGGAGAGAAGAACATGAGACCAAGAGGAATGAGAAGAGGAAGTGGAAAAGAAGAAATAGCACTTGTAACAGGATCATTTATGGGATCTAATCCTCACACTGACCTTGCCAGAAAAGTGCTGCTATTGTTGTTTTATAAGGAAGTGATGCCTTGGAGATACTCATATAGGCAGAGATACACAACCATTACATGGCAAGATCAGGATTCTAATCAGGTCCATTTGACCTCAAATATAATATTCCCCTCACTCCGTTACCTGAATCTCCCTTCTAGAGATGAGTTTTTTCCATCATAGTGATTCCCAACTTGTTGGTAAAGGTCCCTACCAATGTGTCAACTTGCCTTTAATAGCCCCTAGGAAAGCATGCCCCGTGAACTTACTAAGAATGTAAAACCACACTTATCTAAGCACACCGTGGACTCCAAATGCACTTCTTTCACAGCAAGCACTAGTGGTTTGAAAGTATTGTAAACCCTGATTTTTGCAATTCTTTATGATTAGAAAACAATCACCACTGTGTGCAGTATTAATATAAATTGATTCAACACAGATGTGTAGTTTACAAACTTTCTTGTTGTGCCTACCATTAATCTTCTAGGAACAGTCAGCTTATTTGTTCTAAGAATTTTTCTGTTTACCTAGTTGTAACCAGCATTTAATTAAAACAGCTACTGGCTTGCCTTTAATACTCTGAGTGTGGAAACTGAGCTGTGTCCTGTGAGGATATAGTATCTGTTACTAGGTGTTTCCAAGTCAGAGAAGGTCAGTCAAATTATTGATGCTTTTAATTAGTTTTTCCACAAGTGGTCTTATTATTTAGACCCAGAACTATGAAGTGAGGAATTTTTTCCCCCTTGCTTTTGAAGATAGCAACAAAGAACAAAATACACTGCTAACTACTTTCTTGAAAAATTCTCTCCTTCGGGAACTTGGCTTCCCCTTGTTCCATGATAACTTCCAGTCCCTTCTAGGAATTCCTTGCTTTGATCCACAACACAGTGAAGTCACATAACAATGCTTTGTATCTACAGAGGATTTTACAGGGTGAAAGGCACATTCACTTATGCGGTTTCCTTGGATCATCTCTGTCACTCTGTCTCCCTAATTGACAGAGAAGAATAAGCAGGCACAGCGACCTGACATGACACAGCTAGTTTGGTGCATAAGAAACAGGAATCCAATCCTTCTGACTCTACATGCAGCACTCTGGTGCCTCCTAGATGCCTTGTGCTTCAGATAGGGCTCTGTCAGAAGCCACCCATGAGCCAAGGAAATGGGTGAACATGATCAGTTAATGATGAACCACAGGAGAAACCAGTAAGAGTGGGGGTGAGGATAGGGAGGACTAGAGAGGAGGAGGAAGCCAGCGACAGTCTGATAAAAGCCAGTTCTCAGTCTCCACCTCATTGTGCAGGAAGCTCTGCAGAGTTGACTGTGCGTCAGCGTTCGTCTTGCTTTAAAAAGCAAGAGAGAAACTGGGCTTTTCTGTTCATCACACGGGTTACAGGTGACAGCAAGGACAGGCAGAGTTTAAGTCCAGGGGGTTGACCAGTCCAGTGTCCAAAGATAATACTAAACCTCTGAAGACTCCTGGTGTGAGTCTTTTTCAGCAAAACATAACATATAAAGTTGGGGCTGGGAACAGGGGTCTAAAAAAGGAATCCTGGGAGATCTAAGAGGGGATGCTTAGTGTGCAACACACTGTGCATTTATTCGATCAATCAACAAGTAAGTTCTGAGCACCACCTAAAGGCCAGTGAACCCTGTGAAGAATGTATACCTTTTTGTTCTTGTTGATATTATTAATCTTATCTTGAAGAGGAAAATGGAGAGTTAACTTTTTAGAGTTAAAATTTCCTGCAACTAGCCACTCCCTTGAACAGATTTGTCTTCCTGTCTCCCCCCAACACTACATACATACTTCTCTTATCTAACCGACCCTATCCTGAACTCATATGTTATCTCAAGCACTTACTTCCCCTAACTCTGAGCTTGCCCGGAGTTTGAACTTACATACTCGCAACATATATGATGTAGTTTTCACTTGGGCCAATCAGTAATAATGACACAAGATGTAACCAATCAATAACTGCCAAATACTCTGCTTCTGTAACTCTCCCTTGTTTATCCCATATAAGCCCCAAACTACCAAAGATCAGGGCCTGACATTTTTTTGAAGTCAGTGCCCTTCGACATAAATAAATCTGCCTCCAGTTCCTGGGTGACGTTTTGGTGTTTCTATCTGCCGCTGCGATCTGGGGAAAAGGGATTTAGAGGCAGGAAGGAGGTGAGAGAGAAGGGAAAAAAGAATCAAGCTGTGTTATGTACATGTACCCAAGGTGATTTTAAACTGCATGTACTAAAAGCATGTACCAATAAAAATAAATAAATTTGAAAAAAAGATAGTGCGTGTAAAGCACTCAGTATAGTGGCTAATTGGCGCAAGCTAACTCCTTAACATAAAAAAAGAAAAATACATACATAGTTTGACCAAAATATATGGTAAATGTTTAAATTTTAATATTTGTTGTAGTAAAAGACACATTGCTATTAATCCCCTTTAAATACTCCCTTTCACTTGGAACACACTCATCCCAATGTCCTTGCCACTTTCTGGAGCAGTTCTGGAAGTCCTCTTTTCAGGTCTTTACAAGACGTGATCAGAAATATGATGCAAGAGCTGCTGAGTGACGTCCAACGGAAAGGCAGGCCTGTTAAAAATACTATGGTGTGTCCTTATCCACCTGTTCACCAGGCCTGGCACCATATTACTTCTGGCTCTGCCCCAAAGTCAAAGTGACTGTGAAAGGGAAACATTTTGAATCAATTCAGGGTGTTTAAGCAGCTATAATAGCACAACTAAAGACACATGCAAAATAGACCAGAACTGCTCCAGAAGGTGGCAAGGAGGCTGGGATCAGTGTGTTTGAAGTGGGTGTGTGTGCGTGAAGGGGTATGTTGATGGGGATTAATAACAATGTGTCTTTTACTCTAAATTTTTTTAAAATGTAAATGCTCACTGTTTTATTAATCACACCTCATACCTGAGGCCCTCTCCCCGATTCCAGTTTTCATCACCTCCACTTTGTCTCCTTTCTAACATTTATCTTTGCCTGACATTTCCTTCCTCTCTGATGTTTGAAAATCTGTTTACTTCTCCCCACTAAAATTTAAGTTTGTTAGGAGCTTGAGCTCAGTCTGCCAAGCTCACCCCAAGAGCCAGGAAAAACCTCTCTGAGGGGATAATAATTTCCCCAATACCTGAAATTCAAGGGGGAGCCAACTGTCAGCAGATTGTAAGTGAAACATTTACACAGAGAACAGAGCACAAGCTTACTGAAGTAGAAGAGAACTTGGAGCATTAGGGAAGGGCAAGGGAGCTCTGGTGAGCAAGAGGAAGGGAGGGGATCGGATAAGAAAGGGCTTTGTGTGCCTTGGGAAGTAGAGGGGCACCTACTGCAGCACAGGTGGGAAGCCCCATGAAAGAGGCCAGCCATTCACAGACGCTTTCGCAAGGATGACACCATTTGCAGCCCAGCTCCTCATCACCTCTTTTGTACCTCTTTGCACCTCTTTCACATGGTGTATGCCCTTGGTAAGCTGTGAAGGCTTTTCACGGGCTGATTTCCTATTCAGCGCTTTGTTGATGAACGCCAAAAGAGTATATGCAGACTTATGTCAACAAGATAGGACAGGGAGGTTTTATAAAGATACAAATTATCCTCACACCCAGGAAAGAGAAAATCTCTGCTGTGCTGCAGTCTCAGCACTGCTGAGCTCAGCGAGTCAGAATTTGTTTCTTGAACTAAAATTTCAATAGGAGAATGCACCCAGTTTACCTCTCCTTTTCCTCTCTGTATATTTCTGAATAGTTACAAAAGCCCCACAACCCTCGCTTCGATTTGGTGGAGAATGGGAGTGCAGGTGTTATCCACCCATCTTCCTGAGGGGAAATGTGTCTTAGTAAAAGGGACTGGGGGAGATGAGAAGCCTCTCTGCACCTTTCTTGTCCCTTACAAAAATCTCAGCAGAAATGGAAGCGGGAAGATGGGGCTGACTTGGGTGCATAGGGACGAGCAGGCATGCAATAATTTGGTCTCTGGGTAGCACTTAGAGATGACTTTTGTTCATGTAGGACATGAAGTATATGAGAGATGCATCACAGAACTAGGAGAGTCTGGTCACGAGTGCCCCTGCACCCCAAGTTTCTCCTTGTTTAGACCCCAGCCCTTCTCAGCCTCACACCCTGGTGCTGGGAGGCGTGAGCTATGGTGAGTCATAGAGCTTCAGTCGCAGCATCCTCAGAGAGACTGTATAAATGTGAGTGATGACCACGTGGGGGAAATTATGCTTCCAAATTAGATTCAGAATCTTTAAGACTCAGGAGAGCTAAACTTAAATTCTGTTCCTAACTTTATTTAGAAATATTCCAATCTGAATTAAGAAAAAGAAAATATCTTTTTGAGCTTTAGAGATGATAATGGATCAGGACAACAGGCACCTGAATCACTTGTTTTCTAAAGGCAGCAGTTGAGATTGACCCTCAGACCCTAGACCAGAGGAAAGTGAGATGACCTTACCTTCTTGTCACTGAGGCCGGTCACTTGGTCCACAAACTCCTCCTGGATCATAAAAGCAGCCAGGTTGGCTGTGTAGCTGGCCAGGAAAATGACAGCGAAGAAGGCCCACACCGACACCATGATCTTGCTGGTTGTGCCTTTGGGGTTCTGGACAGGCACGGAGTTGTTGAACACCAGGCCCCAGAGGAGCCATATAGCTTTCCCGATTGTGAAAGAAGGCCCGTGCGGTGCTGCAGACAACAAAAAGGGCACCCTCAGCATTTTCTCAAAGTGCACACTCGTGCAAGTGCAGAACCTATGTGGTGGCCACCGCAGCAATGAAGGGTGCCAGAAGCTGGAATTGTGTCCTAGTTGTGTCCTATCAGCGTCTTGGAATCACAGCCACAGCTAACTTCTTTTTTCTTTAAAATTAGCATTCTTTCCACATTTCTATCTAACTGCATTTTGCCACATTTCTTTAAAAAGAAAGAAAAAGAAAGGAAGAAAGGAAGGAAGGAAGGAAGGCAGGCAGGCAGAAAGAAAAGAAAGAAAGAAAGAAAGAAAGAAAGAAAGAAAGAAAGAAAGAAAGAAAGAAAGAAAAAATGGTTATGCAAAATGGGTGTTTGAATGAGAAGCAGTGTTACAACCTGCTTTAAATTTGGACTTGATTTTCATTTGGGGGAACCAATCTTCTTAATAAATGTAAACAAAGGCTGACAAAAAAGTGGGAGCGGAGGAGGGGCTTGCTGCTTCGTATTCATCAGATGTGCTATCGGAGAAGAGCCATGCAATTCACTGGGACTGATGTTTGATATTCAAATTGGATTGTCCCTAACAATTGCTCCTGTTCAAATTCACATGTGAAGTGTGCACAATATAGAAATTAGACCAAACTAAAATCCTCTGCAAATGGAGACATTAAGGGGAAGAACAATAGAGCTTAATTCTTCTAGCACTTCACAGATGGAAGACATTTCACTGCAGGGTCATAGAAAATGAACTGTGATATCACAGCACTTTTTCTTCCTCTGTGTATCCTTGCAACAGCTATGTGTCCCTTTTAAAATTCTTAAATGTTCCTTGCAGCAGATTCAACTAAAGGGGCAGAGCAATATATGAAAATTTATTGGGACGGGGCATATGCAGGCTGTAAAACACATTAAGGTTTTCAAGACTTTGTTTTGCACAAGGAAAAAAAAAATCAATTTATGCCCTCATTTCAAGAAGAGGAAAAAAAAGGCCTTCTTTTAACAGGAGGTTAATTTTTATGTCACTTAAGTAAATGAAGATATGAAAAAATGATCTACTGAGACTTCAGTTGGCAATGCAAGCAGACTGGGCAATAAATAAGTGGCAGAAATGAATTCAGATTGATGGAAGCGAAGAAATTCTGGGCATGAAGCCGAAGAAAAACGAGCCTTCTGCACATTACAGGCTGAGCTCAGGCTCCAGTACCCTTATAATGGACATAATAGAATGCAGTAAAAAGAAGGTAAGTAATTCTGTTCTCAAACTTGCCTGTTTCCTCTTTGTCTACTTTTATGATCTTCTGGCCTTATTTCCAAGGGGCTGGGAACTCTTAGGGAAAAAATACTAAAATCAATCCAGTTAACTTCTTAAACTACTTACTTTTATTAGAGATGCATGTTGATTACAAATGACAGCTATCTGGGAATCAGAAATAGGTAGTTCCAAGGGATCTCCTCCAGCACTGCTGGGAATTCCTGATGAGTGAATACTATTACTGGGCCATATCGCTTTCCCCATAAAGCACAATAAAAGGTAGGATAAAACTACTCTCCCCAAAGACATAAGGAGCTATCATTTCCTAAGAGTCATCACATACACATGAGCAGGAAACAGGAAACCTCAACACAGTGGGAGGGCTAGAGAGTTTGCCTGCTACATTTCCTTCCTTACAACAATCTTCTTCCGCACGCCTCTGCCCGGGGAGAAAGTACAAGTGATCGTCCTTACGTGAGCTTTCCCCGCAGTGGTGCGCCTCACACGTGTCTTCTTAGTTCCATCTTCACTTCTCTCACTGGACATTGCCCTCAAGTCCAAAATACTATAAACCCTTCTCCTTGGAAAGCCATGACACCTTCTTCACTGGTCTCGCTGCTTTCACTGCTGCCGTCCCTTCCTGTTATCTTGGCAGAGCATCTAGTGACCTCTACACATTTGTCACCCTGCTTCCTTCCCATGGTATTTTGAAGAACACCTGACACGCTTGCTTGCCGTGCTCATCTGACCCCATCTGCCTTCATCTTATCCTGTTACCCTTCTCACTCGTTCACATCTCTGCTTCTCAAACCTCCAGCCCTTTTTCATTTGATGTTCCCCCTGCAGGGAGTGCTTTTCCTTCTCAACCCTCAAGCCTCATTGCCTAGTGTCATTGCTTCAGAGCATACTTCTCTACTTTAATACGCTGTCTAACGTAGCACCCATCCACCTCCATAAAATCACTCTGCTTTCTTCTATTTCTTCTTGAAATGTATTAAAATCTGTGATTATTACTGTATGTGTTTACATGCTGCCTCCACAACTAAATCCTAAGATTCCTGAGGATGAGGAAGTCTCTACCTGATTCACCTTGTTATCTCCTACACAAGTACAGTGCTTGGCACGTAGTACTCATGCAATAATTATTCACTCAATAAATGTGTGACTTCAAAATAGCACAAACTCTGATTGTACAGATTGAAAGTTCTACTTTACACCAGTGTGCTTACGCACAGGAAACTACCCCAGTTCCACTCCGATGGAAAGTCTTTAATGGTTAGTTATGTTGCCCTTTTAGTGCAGGCTAGAAATCTCCCACTTAAACACAATATGATTATTTATCACATTTTGCTGTTTCAGTTGATTGCCCATGGTTTAAGTAATAATCACCATTCTTAAATGGTTAAGAAGAAGTAAGAGGATTTCAATAAAACTAAGTTCCTAACAGATTCTATTGGCCTGCTTGCTGTTTCTAATATTGAGTCTCCAAGCGAAAATAGTATGTATTGAACTTAAGTGCCTATTCTGAGGGGCATTTGAGATATCAGGGTGTCCTGCCCTTTACCAAATCAAGTCATTTTTCAGGACAGAGATTTGGTGCTCGTATCTTTCTGATACCATCCACGTAGAGAGTACTGTGCTTTGTGAAAACTCTTCTCAAATGATACAATGAGTTGAGAACTAGTTTGCGTGGGAGTCTCATAATGAGTTACAACCAGTAAAGGTCTCCCAATTTAATTTCTTATCTACTGATTATCCCTTTATCAAGTACAGTGTCTGAAGGTCAGGCACCATCAATGTACATCAAAAGAGTACCAATAAAAATTAATTTTAAGAAGAAAAATGTAACTCTTTGGGAGAAAATATCATTTTATAATAATATTTATTGTCAAACTAAAGCAATATGATTCAGGAGTTTGAAGACTATTCTTAAACTATGTTCTACAAGCCATTTTCTTTGCGTAAGCTGAAGTTGAGACTCACCATGATATTACTGTTTCTTTTGATAGGCATTTTGAAAATTAATTGCCAAAAATATTCTTCAAATGTGCTTTCTCAAGAAATTGATTACCAGTGAGTTTTACCTAACAACAACAGCTTTCATATTGTAAGATTAAAATGTTTCATTTCGTTCTATCCTTTTTCCAGTTGAAATGAGTAAATCACATTTGTCTGCCATTACAGTTCATATCAGTGGCCTAGAAGCATTACTATGATGGTGTACCGAGGCAAGCTAGGGCAAAGTATTCCAAAACAAAAATCATCACTGATGGTAAATAAAATAGCATCGACTTGGAATGGTGCTTATGCAGGCTTCCTTACCTTTCCCTTTGGCTAAGTTTCTGTTGTATCCAACAGGACTGAAGTATTCAAAGACAAAAACAGCTATGGCAGAGACAATGAGCAGCATTACAAACATCATCACCCAGACAGAGGCGCTGAACGGTTCTGTAGGTAAACAGAAGAGAGTAATCGAAACAAAATCCATTAAATCCTCCAGCAAGAAGTCCATTTGCAGGCTCACCTAGAAACCCTTATTCCAAACCGGTCATTCAAGAGAAGCTCGTTATTGTTTTATTGTTACACTTAAACCATTCTTTATTCTGCAAAATATTTGAGGCCCTTCATAAGACTGCATACATAATATGATAAAAATAGATAAAAGTAGAAGACACTTTTACAAATCAGGTCAAGGATAACAGAAACACAAAAGAATGATAAGCCCAAAGGAGAAAGTCAGAATGCAAATAAACAAGGCACAGAGTTGAATATAATTATAGAACCATACACCAAACCAAAGATCAGCAGGAATAGGATCAGATTCAAGTGTTTCGTCACAAGGCTTCTGCAAACAGGCATGGTTTTGATTTTTATTTTCATTTGTATTTTTACATACTGGTGAAATGATGCATTGGCAGGGGAATTATAATGTTTTAGAAAGGATTATAAATAGTAGGGCTGACAAGAGTATCACGTTCATAATCTGCATCCATGACTCTCCATCCGTCCTGCTGTAGCCCGGTGCTCTCTCTATACTTGATAAATCTTCCTAATGCTGGTAAAAGGGTTAAATGTAACTGAAGTCATCTGAGGACACTACATTCCCATGAAAATTCAGTGAAAAGACATCATTGACAGAGAAGAGGCACTCTGGGAGGCTGAGGCAAGGGGATCACAAGTTTGACCCCAGCTTGGACAACTTAGTGACTTTGTGAGACCCTGACCCAAAATAAATAATTAAAAGGGCTGGGTTGTAGCTCAGTGCAGAGGTCTTGGGTTCAATCCTTGGTAGCAGAGTAGGAGATGGAGGGGTGGAGGCAATGAAGTGGTAGATGGATTGGCTAGGTGCACTTTCTCCCCTAATGGTCACTTTCACCCATTCATTTCATTTCCATGCAATTTAGGCAATAGGCAGATGTCTTAGAAGGGCAGGCCAAGTCATAGAGTTCTGAACCTTAAACGTTCTAGAAAGGTAAGAGATACTAGGTAAAACAAATTAGCATTTTTATTCAGTCTGGTTGAGGATATGAAAATTAGCCATTGGAGACATTATTTATGATATAGATTTACTAGAAAATTAATAGAGAGTAAACTTTTAAGAATAACTATGCCTCCACCTGATTCCATCATTGGGAACATCAGTGAACTGACAATTCTTTTCCTCAGAAGCAAGCATTTTCTGAGGGTAAAATATAGTAAGTGCAATGACACCTCTTGAGTAGTAAACATTTTATTATGCTTCTGTTGTATTCTGATGAAGCTAGTAATAATAAAAAGCTAGATTGACTGCAGACCATCTTATTGGTGTCTGTGACTATATAACACAGCTAGAGGTCATCACAAATTCAAATTTACTGAGCTTAATGTTTAACAAGAAATTAACATGACTAAAGCTTTATCCATATCTGATCACTTAAAAACTGAAACAAATGCTGTGCAATGACATTTTGATGGTGCAAATATGTTAAAAAGCAACAGGTAACAGCACAACTTACTTAACACCCAAGAAATCAATGAGACAGAAGCTGAAATTTGTTTTAGTTAAATTTAGCTGGAGTAATAAACAATATTATGTCTCCAAAATCAGATAAGTTTGGTAATGAGTTATATTCGGAAAGGAGGGTAAGTAAATTAGTAATTGGGAGATTAAGAAATATTTGGTATTCAAGAATAGAGATGTTAGGGGCTGGGGATTTAGCTCAGCGGCAAAGCGCCTGCCTGGCAAGCACAAGGTCATGAGTTCGGTTCCCGGTACCGGAAAAAAACAAAAAAAAAAAAAAAAAAAAAAACCAAAAGAATAGAGATGTTAGTAAAATGCTTCAAGTCAGACACAAAAACGGCATGGTGTTTCTCAGCAGAGAAGGGGGACTGTGATAAGGACAGGAGGGTGCACAGGTAAAGCACTTGGTGCTGGGCCCTGCATATTGTGCACGTGCAGTAAAGCAAATGGGACCAGTGTTTGATGTCATCACTGAAGCCAGAAATGGTGAGGGCGGTGTTTTATTGGTGATACTGCAAAAGTGCCCTAATTTAATAGAGGAACTCTTACTAATCTGATAACTTGCATTTCTCTGTAGGCTGTGATAACATGTGAAAAATAAAGGGGACTTTGCTGAATTCTTCTGAAAGGAAGAATCTGTAAACCCACAGGAGACTTCACTGGGCCACCACATCACTAACGCACTGGTTACAAAATTAGATGGAAGTTGATCAAGCAGCTAACTGATCCCAGATATTTTTAAACTTGGAATTGACCATCTTTGTGCCCTGACTGGTGATCACAGCAGACAGATCAAAGCACTGTGCTACGGTATTCCGGTTTTGGTAGATCAAATGTCTCTGTCTGGAAAGACCACGGTTTTTAGGCACCACTCATGCACACCACACACACAGCACACAATGAAGAAAAGCATTAAGACACTGCTGAGGCACTGTCTGAAGTAACTAAGGAGTCACCAAGAAATATTCTAAAATTGCTATGGATTATATGTCCATAAACAGATTCAACATTTGTCCATGAAAAAGTTTCAGGCTAGGAGACTGCAGGTGAGCATCTCCTTAGTTCAAAGAATCCAACCTGCCTGAAAAGTCTTCAGAATAAACCAGGTGGGAATATTGCAAGACATGTCATCTCTGTCCTTGAAAAGGCACTGGTGACAGTTTTTACACAAAAGCTTGTGGCATTACCTGCAAGTGTTTCCAATGCAAGTTAATGGAGTTTGAGGAGGATAGAGAATAGGAAATAATGAAGAGCAATGCAATCAGATTCTGAATGCTTTGGCTCTTCCAGATGACTGAGCCAGCGAATGGAAAAATGTAGCTTAGCACGGTTCATTATGACTTTCAAAACCTGCAGATAATGACTGTAAATAAGGGGTGCAGAGACAATCGAATAGGGATGTAATTTAGTGGCTTGGAAAAATATTAAACCTACTGCATGAAAACAGCTTTGAAAATAGTCTCCTCTGACTATAATTTATTTTATTTTATTTTTAAAGATACAGTAGAAAGAGCACAGGGGGCTCCTAAATTTAACAGAATGCTTGACTTTTTAATGGAAATGTTCTACAGATACAGGTAAGGTAAAAAGTCTAGAGAAACTGGGTTGAGGCCAGACTCAATATCGCGACCCATTTTTATAAGACAAGCCAATTGATATTTTTCTCTCTGATTGAACCAGGAAAAAAGTTCTCTCTAGATCACTAAGAAGATATGGAGACATATTCTGAAATTTTTTTTATAAATTTACTTCTTCCATCTCTCTCTGTTTTTTAACCTCCAGGCAAAGCCTCTCCATCAAAGATAGGAGAAAAGGGGAAATATGACTAGTGGTGACTTAGGAGTGAGTATCCTTCTAATAATCAGGATTCTACACATGTCAATATCAATTGGTGGCATTTTTCCTTGTGTAATGAGGTTCCTTTATTAAGATATTGGTATACATGTATATGTTAGACAAAAGGGACAAAAGGAACATACTAATGTATGTATTTGTCCAGCTCTATATTGTTCCAACAAAAGTTACAAAACTTGAAGCAATGAGTGCAAAAATCAAATCCAGTGAGTGGCAAGGATTTTGGCAGCTTAACTGGATTATCAAAAATGAAAATAATAAATCCATATGCCTCTGTGAGTAAGGCAGCATCATGAAATCCTGTTGGTCAACATTTCACTCAAGAGAAAGAAGCATGAAAGTTTCACTGGAAGCTGACGTAACATATAAATGAAGATGTTGGAAAAATAAGACTATGGGCTCAGGATGGGTATCCACAAATTGGATATAACAAGCAATTTTCTTTAATAAAGTTTTTAGTGTCTGGAAAAAATCTAAGAAATCTAGTTGGCTTTAATAAAATTGTTTTCCCTCTCTCAGGCAGTTTTCCTCTAAAGATTAAGGGTTATTTTAATCTCCCTAAATCTATTATAAACCCATGTATATAGGTATGCCAAGGAGTTCATTTGAAGTCCATGATCTTCCATAATGTAATTACTGAAAATACCCAATCATTGACACAACATTTTAAAGAAAAAATTAATAGTGCATGCACAGTTCATGAAATTTTGACCACCCTAGCCAGGCTACCTAATGTATATTATAATTACAGTGCTGAAAAAAAAAAGCTATAAAAAAAAAGACCATAGAAAGTATAACATTACCTGCTTTAGAAAAAAACATTTATGTGAACATATGAATTTATGAAATGTTTACAAGAAGAGTCAAATGGATTTTCTGCTCTGTAAACTATTTGGATCAAAGAATAGTCACATTTAAAATATGATCCCCTTAATTTTAAATCACTGTATATTCTTCAGACTACTTCTATTTTGCTTATCAGAGTACTGTCATAAATCATTGTGGAGTCATCACTACTTTCCCTCTTACACTCACAAATAAACAAGTGCCATCCTAGTTAAAGATGTGTGTGGATGCTGAGTCAAGGTTTATGGAGGGATTTAAATTAACTGTGAACATACAGGCTTATTTATTTTTTAAATGTTTTCAAGGCTTTAAGCCATGTGCCTATTAATTTATATTCTCTAGAGTTAAGACTGGCATCCGAGTATACAATAGTGCTTTTATCAGCAGACTGTTCCAAGTTAAAGATAAATGAATGATGGGACTCCTTAAGGTGGGTGTGAATTGGAGTAATTCAAATGCAAAATATTCTAGGAATACACTGACGTGGTCAAATAGAATCAGACAAGGTCTAGTTTAGTCCTTTTTCTTTTTTTCTGGTTACGGGGGTGTTCTACTACTATGCTAGATCCACAATCTTTTTTGTTTTTTTTTGTGAGATACAGCCTTAGTTGCCCAGGTTGACCTCAAACTTGCAGTCCTTCTGCCTCAGCCTCCCAAGTAGCTGGGTGTACAGGCGTGTACCTCCACACACCATTTGATCCTATTATTTGAGCCACAAGAAAGAAGACCCATTCCTTGTAGAAAAGCACTACTCACTAACGAGGGTCACATACCTAGAAAAGCAGAAGGTGAGACAGTGCCATTGCTTCTTGAAACCATGACGCTGATTCCTGTCTCCACAAAGGGCACGGAGAAGTCCACTACTTCAGAGCGCTCCTCGTTGATAGTGAGTGAGCCGACAGCCATCACAGCCCGCTGATAGACCACCTGGATCCAGGAAAGAGCAATATGTTCACCTATTCTTCCCGGCACACCCAAGACTTACAGGGGATGAAGAGCCCGGAGGACGGAAGGTAACGTACTTCACCAATCATTCCATTCCACACGTTGTTAACCTTTTTGCCGTGCTTCCCATTGGTCACCAGGTAAAGGTCATAGGTGAACTTCACTGTTCTTGAGAGCTTCTTCAGGATGTCGATGCAGAAGCCTTTGCAGCACTTTTTAACATTCATCCCCTCGTTGGTGGAATTGCTGTGGAGACAAACACAAGGCCACAGAACTTTACTACTAGAAGGTTTGTGCACTTGGTTAGCCACACTCTTGCATATTTCAGACAGGAAACTGTGTCTCATATAGAGGAAAGAGACTTTCCCTAGGACACACAGTGAGTTTAGGACAGCACAAGTAGAAAGTGTTCTTAACTGTAACAGTTATCATGAAAACAGCTAGCACTTACTGAGTAATCATTATTGATTAGGCACTCTGCTAAATGTTGTGTACTAATTGTTGGGTTAAAGTCCACGTTTCACTGAACTATATACCTTTTATACCCCATTAAACAGGTGAGAGTCACCAACCCTTATCTTTAAGAGCTTATAATGCACTTCTTTAGGCCCAGAGTTTAGTCATCTGATGTAAACTGAATTATAAAAGCATATGGGAAACAGACAGAGGCGGATGTGAAATTTTCAAGTGAGGTAGGATTTTACTTCATCCTCTAATTACAAATTCTTGAAACCAAAAGGAAGAAGTGAGGATCTCCAGAAAACTGTGAAGAATTAGGAGATCTGGTTCTACCTGTGCTGGAGTCTGTGGACTTGACTTCTGAGGAAAAAACCAACTGTATCGTAAATGTTCATTTATCACATTTTCCCTACAAACCTACATGGCATGAAATGTAAATGGTGACACTTTGGAGAAGGGATGTCTTTGACCAGGAAAACGCCTTATACAAGTTAAGGGAACATTGCCATCTTTAAAGCTGTCTTACCATCCATCAAGATTGTACTCGCTGATTTGCTCCTACCACCCTAAGGTATTCACCTGGCCAAGTCATACTCAAAGGACATCTACACAAACACACACACCTTTAAAAATGGAGGAAACATTGGTATTCCCAAGCCAGGCAATGGAAAGTACCTGTGCAACTCACAGGGGAAGATCAGGACCTCTTTGAGCAATATACTTGACTCTACTTTGCACAAGAGCATACCATTAGCTCAACTTTGTCTCAGCCATGCATGTCAGGTAATATGTACTCTGTTTGCAAATTATACTTTTGGCACACCTACCCTTTGGAATGTTAACTAAACATTCCATAAACATGATGTTTATGGAAATCCAATATTGTAATAGGAAAATATATTCCCATATCATATGGAAAATATAGATACAAACAGAATAATCATAGCTATATAAAAGCAGATATGTTTATGAAATAACTAGATGGAAAAACAGTAAAATAAAAAGCATAGCTATTTTTGAATAGTAGGGAATTTTTTCATAGTTTTGAGATTTCCCCCAAATTATCTCATGAGCATGTACCATAGAACTGAATATCCACTGTACTCAGCAGCACTGGTATATATCTGTAGCTATATCCATGAATGTAGACAGATTTGATGTTACAGCTTTGAGTTAAAGGAACTGAGTTGCAAATGCACCCTTTTCAATGCTTACTTTTGTCTTGGGATCACAGAGTGTCTACCTGGAATTACCAACTTCACCATCCTCTTAGCCTGCCCTGCCTTCTCCTCAACCATCCTGTTTCTGCTGGCTAAGACCACCATGTGGACTTCACTCTCTATCCTAGACAGCGGGTGACCCACTCTGACCTGCCATCCTCAGCTCACAGGCAGTGGGAGCCACATCGGTGTGCTACATATATTCACATACAATTACTGGTGGGATGCATGCTATAGACTCATAGAAGGTGAGTATATTCCCCTTACCTATCAATGACCCAGAGCAGAGAGGGTCAGGTTGGAGTTAAAACTGCCAGAAATGTGATTGGAGTACAATAAATCAACGGCACATCCAGATGCCATTTTCTTCTTAGTATACGTAGCTCTGAAAATGTGCTCACATCAAATTCTCTTCTTCTCCCTAAAATTATGGTCTCTTTTGCCCACCTCTACTTACTTGTATCTCTTTCACTCTCTGCTCTTTACCTCCTCTGTCACAACCTTTATTTGCCTGGTCAAGATTCCTGGGGAGTGGGGGTAGACAGAAGTCACAAACATCCCAGGATTAAGATTCAGGATCACAGTACATATGTATTCTCTGGTCTCACTGGGAACCTCAGCTGGTTTATAAGTGAATATCACCATGTCCCTGGCTTCAAATTACATTTCTAGATATAAATGGTCAATGGTAAATTTTTGCCTAGTAGGCACCCACTGAGAACTTCTGTCCTAGTAAACCAGAACTTGGAGAACCAGGATGGAAAAGGCACAAAGCAAATGTACTAATGTAGTGTGTCATGGTAACTACAGAAATTCAGACCATGTTGTAATTGGGAACTCCTGTTGGTTCCTTTCACAGATTTGTGATTTGGTTATCTGTTCTCTGGGCAGAAGTTGGTCCCATGAAGGAAGCAGAGTGTCTGGCACAAAGCAGAGTCTATAACCTCAGTAGGACTCTTTCTTTTTTGATAAGGACACTGTCTGTGTACTTTTCCCTATGTACCCATGAACTTTCTCCAATCTGTTTGACCACCACTCAAAAGAAAAGGTGAATTCTAAGAACAATATGGGGAAATGGATCCAATAAGACGTTTAGTTTAATGGCCCCAAATTTCTCAGTGTAGCCAGTACATATAAACATAGCCATGCAAGTCACATAGAGCTCTACTCAGATCCTGGGTTGGACCCTACCAACCAAGAAAACTCAGTTCTAAGTCTCAACACTCATAGAACCAGCATGCATTTTGAAGGCTGATACTTTTCAGGATGATTGGAAAGATCAAGTAAAATAAAGTACCTATAGCACTTCTCATAATCCTTTAAAAATAAATCTCTTCTCTTCCCACCAATGATTTGAAAGTTTAGGACTTTAACTGACAGTACGGCCATTTTTTCCTGCAAATCAGGTCAATAATATTTCCATTATTTTTCTCCATGAATTTAACACTCAACTAACAGACTAGGAGGAAAATCTGATTTCTCTGCTCATTCTGGCTTCTTAGGTTAATGTGTGACCTCCAGACTCCACCAGGTACCAGAAGCAAGAAAACAGAACTTTTCCTGGGAAAGTATTACCAAGAAAATAAGTGCAATCACATTGTCTAATAGGAATCTTTTTGCAGCCTATCAGCTTTCCTTAAACCTTTGGCTTTGGGGAATGCAAGTGATCTAATCTATGCTAATGTTGGCATCAACAGATCCTAGCATTTTGCTGTTGATCTCAGCTAAGTCAAAGACTTCTATTTCACACAGATACAGAGGACTCCCATCCCCATATGGAAAAGGGAAAACTGCAAGCTACCACCTCCACACAGGAACCAAAAACGTGAATTTAATCTGTCTATAGTCTTCAACAGAAAGATCAATTATTTTAAGGGGAGTAATTTATTTGGATTCATTTTTCTTCATAGGAATATAGCTCAAGATATGGTGCTGTACCTGTTTTCCCCTTCACAGCTACTGATTTTGAAGATTTTAAACTCTTCTTACTGATTGTGAAGCAAGGAGGCCCCACTTGATGGCCCTGTTGGAACACAGACAGTGTCCTTATCGGAAAAGGAAGAGTCTTACTGAGGTTATAGGCTCTGCTTTGTGCCAGACACTCTGCTTTCTTCATGGGACCAACTTCTTCCCAGAGAACATACACCCAAATCACAGCCTCCTTTGACAATGTCCCCCTGATCTATCCCTTCTGCCAGCCCGTCCCTTTCTTGCATTCACTGATTTTTCTTTAGTTTCCCGAACTCGTCCAGTTGTTTCCTTCCTCTGGGTCTTTGCACTCATTCTTCCCTCCGCCTGAGAGGGTATTCTCTTAGACTTCAGTATGTCTGGCTCGATCTTATCTTTTCCCCTTTATCATCTTAAACCTGACCCTGGACCTGGCCCTGGAACGCCCACATGCCCCAATGTATTCTCTTATCTTACAACCTTATTTCTCTCTGTACAAGGCGGATCACAATGTGAACTGCCCCACTGCTTCACTGGTTGAGAGGTTTTCTTCAAGTGTCCATCACAGGACTGCAAGAACCTTGTCTTTTGCTTTCTTTGTCTATCCGTCTCTCCACTGTGCCCAGGACTGTGTCTGACACATACACTGTGCCTAAGGCATATTTCTGTATTTATTGACTTATTTTTATTTATAACAACATCAGCACTATTATTATGGAGGGTCTCAGCAAAAACCATTAAGACATTACTTCATGCCCTGCCTTGGTGAGCCTCACCTCCTTATCTCCAGGGGACGGAGGTTTGGCTGTCTACAGAAGTAAAGCTCTTGCTCTGGAAGCCATGCTGGGGGGCACTGGCAAGGGGGAGGCCTATTTAGGGGGGGACATTTATACTTACTTCATCATCTAGTCAGAATTTCAACTCCAAAGGGCCTGACTTTAGTGACCTTGTTGATAAAATTTCTTCTAAACCAAAATGTGCCTTCATAATACACTCAGCAACCACGTATATTTTATAAAATATATACCCTGACCTCAAGCACTGAGATCTGAATACTTGGATCTTGGGGAGTAATGACCGGGATGAGAGTCTGAAGTGGAGGAATAAAATCATTCATTCATCATCTAATCATTCAACAAACCTTGGGGTATTGTGCTCTGTACTTGTCACTAAGAGTACAAAGATTAATAAGACACTTCTTCTAAATTTGGGGAACTCATCATTTAGGGGAAAAGACAGACAAAATAACTGTGAGCTATAAAAAGAGACAGTTGGGATAGATATAGAGATTATCCAGGGTATAGTGTAAGCAGGAAGAGCTAGCCCAATTTAGAGAGGCAGGGGCCATAATTAGAAGTGGAGGTTGGGCAGCTGAAAGATAGTGACCAGAAAGTATTCCGAAAAGAGGGTTCTATCCAACAGCAGGCTTTCTTCTTCTGTGAGTCCCCCACAAGGGTGGTATATGGCAAATATCTGTATCAGGAAAGATCAGGGCCTGGCACTTGATCATGGAGCTTTCTGAATCCCCAAAGGGTGCACAGGTTAAAGTGGACCCTTAATCCACAATGTCAGCTCTTTCTCCAAACACAGCAACAGAGGAGATGGCACAAACACAGTGCAGCCGGGTCAGTTTCTATGTGGATCACACCCAAAAGTCACACGCAAGTGGTGTCCACTCCCAAAGGGAGGGAAATTTGTAAAGGTTTGAGAAGTGTGGACCTGGAAATATGAAAGCTAGAAGGGAGGAGAATGTGCTGGGGAAGGGGAGTATGAAGGGGCAGCTAGAAGCACAGAAAGGAAAACCTTCCTGGAGGAAAGACTGAAAGGGACTGCTAATTCCATGAGAAGTTTAAGAACTCAGCTGCAGAATCAGATGGATGAATATCTAAGCCATGCCTACTCCCTTGCTCTATGGCTTTGAATGCATTTCTAAATTTTCCCATAATCAGTTTTATCAGCTTACCATGGGCAAAACTACCCATATCATATTGCTATTGGAATTAGGTAAACTTCAACTTGGTGCCTCTGCAGGCATTAAAGTCTTTTGATCTATTATTATTTTATTATTATGATAGCATATATTTTCTATTACATTTTATTGCTGAATTACCTGTGCTGTTATTATTACTCACACAAGCTATTCAAGAGGATTGATGGCACACAGGCAATGGTGTGCTATCCGTTGTGGGTACTCACTTGATCTTGACAAACTTCCGACAGGGCACGGTGTTCCTCACACAGGTCTCAGTCAACGGGTCTATGTCCTCCACGATGACAAAAGGGGCTTCCTCCAAGGTGACAATGCTGAGATGGTTGTCATCTGGCTCACAGTCAGAGAAGGACTTGTACCTTGGCCACACAGCATGCCTCAGGCTCAGGGTCTGGTTCTCCCACTTGCCCACCTGCATCACAAGCAAAAAGACGCACCTGTATTTTCCTACACCACTGACTTCTAGAAGGGCAAGTCCCTCCCCACAGGGTGCACAGGAGAAGACATCATCAGTCTTAAGGGCTGTGTTGTGACACGTCTCAACACATGCATCCACTTACGTGTGCAGAAAAATGAGGAACAAAGAAAACCAGTCTGTTGGGCAGCTTCCCACTCTGGTCCCTACAGAGGCTTATCAAACGTGTGTGTCTGGGGGTGTTTCAGAAGCACTGATACTTTTAGTGCTCCCTAGGTAGTTCTAATGCCCTTCCAGGCTCCAAGATCATGGATGTCATGGAAACAGTATAAACTTTTAGATCAGAGAGATGTGTGCTTGAATGTCTACCTCTGCCACTTACTGGCTGTACAAGTTTAAGCAAGCCCTTAAGCACCAGAACTGCTGTCCTCTCATCTGGAACCTGGGCACGATTCCATCATTCTCCTGTAGATATCATGGGAAGCAAACAACGCGGTGCAGGAGAGCAGAAGCACAGTGTGGGACAGGTAGCCTAGACTCCGTGCTTTTCTTTACAATGTGGAGGAAAGAAAATGAGATGGAGGATGATTAAAAAAAGGTTCTAAGGAAAAGAAAAGGTGGACAGGCAAGAGGAAGATGCAGGTAAAAAGCACACAGCAGAAGCTTAGAAGAAGAGAACCACAAAAAGGAGCAGAGTAGGTGTCAGAAGCATTGTCTCAATCCCAAATATGCTTCCCCTGAAGTTGCAAATTAAGGTGAACTTCTATTAATCCACACAGGGTGGAGATGGTTACTGCTTAGCGTACATCAGCAGCTGTCAAAACAGAATCGATTGTATTCCCTCTGAGCAGCACTCGGCATCTTAGTGAAATCAAATTGAAGGCTGTATGTTTTGAGCCGTAATTCTATTTGACAGCTTATTGGCACTATTCACATCCACACTGGGAGCAGACTGCTGCCGCATCCCACTTTTGCCTTCCTCCTCCTGCTCCCACACGCAATTGCATGACACCACAGGTCAGCACTTTATTTGTAATACCAACCTCAAGGAAAACACCTCATCCAAGAAGCCAAGTGCCAAGTGCAGGCTTGTCTGCTAGCGTGACCTGCTCACCTCTCCACAAGTATCACCAGAAATGAGTCTCAGGCCCTTAAAGAGGATTCAGACAGGCTGAGCACAGGAGGGGACAGGGGCAAGGAAGAGAATAGAATCCTCATTGCCTGAGATTACCTCATCACTTAACCTCTCTGAGCTTCACTTTCTACACTTTTGACAACTGCAGTGAGGGCCTAATGAGCCAAGCACACATACAACACGTACAGCACGGCACAAAACACACATGCTGGCTGCTATTATTCTGTCGCTGCTGTTGTTAGCATTTAATACACAGCGTAAACATCACCTGACCCATACAGTCCTTCTTGCTTTCCTTAATAATCTATACCTTTGTACCTATCTCCATCACAGCATTTTGATATTATAATTATAAGGATGTTACTATTGAACATTGTAAATGTGCCAGTATCACACTTAATCTACCCGCCTACACACAAACAAAATCTCATATGGGGAGGATTATAATCTCAATTTCACTGTTCAGGGAAACCAAAACACAGAGAGGTTACATAAATTGTCCCAACGCACACAGCAAGGAAGTGGTGGAACCAGGGTTATACTCTGCAGCCATTTGGATCCAAAGGTGTTTTCCCACTAAGTACACAGTGCTTCTCATTGAGCCATGGTAAACGTGCTACAGCCCAAGGCCTCTCCTTCTTTACAGATGAGGCTACTAATGTTACAAAGGAACATAAATTTAGGCAAAGACCAGGACAGAATCTTTAGTGGTGACTTGACCACATCCCAAACTCACCACCCTGGCAAAAATTGTAGCCCTGGGCCAACCCATGGGGAAAGAGAGGTTGCAAAGGCTTCTTAGCTGCCAGAGTACAATAACTGTAAATCCTTCCTGCCCGACTCCCCTTCCTGCCATATCCAAGCCAGTATTCATGGGATGCCAAGGAGGGTGGAAGCAGGAGTACAGCACTTAATCAGGAAGCCAAGCTGCTATGTAAACACGGCTCTAGCTCTTGAGAGCTCTTACCTCCTCTGAGTCCAATCGGCTCATCAGTAGCCTTTCAAACACCAAAAACCAACTATGCAAATTTATATACCAGAAGGAGAACAGATATTCTTCACTTTCCCCCTCTAAATTTATATTCATGAAGTGCAGTAACCAAATCAAATGTTTGTGGAAGTCTTCATCAAAGATTCCTTCATTCTGTAAGTACTGATTGAATGGCTACTCGGCACCAAACACTGTCATACACTGACACTGTAGTGTGAACAAGGAAGGTTTTGATTGCATTGAATTGTTATGCTAAGTAGGGTGACAGGAGTCCACTACACAAAAACAAGAAGTATCTGCCTACTCCTATGTCTTCAAGATTTCCACATAGTTTCTCTTCCAGTAGTTTGAGTGTTTCTGTTTTCACATTTAGATCATTGATCCATTTTGATTTTAGTTTAGTACATGGTGCTAGACATGGGTCTAGTTTTTAGTTTTTAGCACGTGGAAAGCCAGTTTGCTCAGCACCATCTATTAAAGAGGTTATCTTTCTTCCAGTGAACATGTTCAGCCCCTTTGTCAAAGATAAGGTGGTTGAGTGTGTTTGTGGTTGTTTCTGCATCTTCTAATCTGTTCCACTGATCCTGTGGCCTGTTTTTTTGCCAGTACCATGCTGTTTTTAATCACAGTAAGTTTGTAGTATAATTTCAAATAAGGGATTGTGATGCCCCTGATTTAGCTTTGTTGCCCAGAACTGCTTTTGCTATTCTAGGTATTTTCTGGTTCCAAATGAATTTTAGGAATGTTTTCTATAGTTCTGTGAGGTATGGTAATGGTATTTTGACTGGGATTGCATTAAACCTGTATGACAGTTTTGGGAGTATGGCCATTTTCACTATGTTGGTTCTTCCTATCCAAGACCAAGGGATGTCTTTCTGTTTTCTGGTATCATCTTCAATCTCCTTTGTCAGAGAACTCTAAATTTCAATAGATAGATCTTTTACTTCCTTTGTTAGATTGATTCCTAAATATTTCTCCTTTTTTGGATGCTATTATGAAGGGTGTGACTTCCCTAATTTCTCTCTCAGTAAGTTTGTTGTTTGTGTACAGGAATGCTACTGATTTTTGAATATTGGCTTTGTAGCCAGCTACACTATTGAATTTGGTGATTAAGTCTACAAGTCTTTTGGTGGAGTTTTTTGAATCTGCTATGTAGAAAATCATGTCATCCACAAGTAATGATAATTTAACCTCTTCCTTTCCTATCCTTATTTCTCTTATTTCTTACTCTTGTCTAATTGCTCTGGATAATACTTGTAGGACTATATTGAATAGGAGTGGTGACAGTGAACATCCTTGTCTTGTTCCTGATTTTAGAGTGAAAGCTTTCAGGTTTTGACCATTTAGTGTGATGTTAGCTATTGGTTTGTCATAGGTGGCTTTCATCAGATTGAGAGAAAGACCATCTATTTTAATTTTCTATTTGGTTTTTATCATGAGTAGATGTTGGACTTTGTCAAAAGCTTTTTTTCATTTATTGAGATGATCATATGATTTTTTGCCTTTGGCTCTGTTAATATGGTGTATTACATTTATTGATTTGTGTATGTTGATCCCTGCATCCCTGGAATGAATCTGACTTCATCATGGTTTATAATCTTCTTGACAATTTGCTGCATTCTGTTTGCCAGTATCTTATCGAGGATTTTTTTCATCTGATTGCATGGGAAATATAACAAAGCATCAACAACTGGGATCTCCTCTTATTAAAAAGATTTTGCACAAAAAAGTAAATCACCAACAGAGTTAAAGGACAATCCACAGCATGGGAAAAATTTTAATCACTTGTCCCTCAGACAAAGGACTTATATCTAGAACATATAAAGAATTTTTAAAAATCAAACCATCCAAAACTGAAAGACCCCATCCAAAAATGGGCATCTGAGATGAATACACACTTCTCAGATCAAAGACAAATGGAAAATAAGTATATGAAAATATGTTCAACATCATTGGTCATTGGAGGGATATAAATCGAAACAACACTGGGATTCCATCTCACTTCAGAAAGAATGGCCATCATCAAGAAATTAACCAATGAGAAATGTTGGAGGGGCTATGAGGAAAAAAAAAACATTTCTTCACTGTTGGTTTGAATGTAGACTGCCACAGTGTTTCCAACCACTGTGGAAATCAGTGTGGAGTTTCCTCAAAAAACTAGGATTGGAGGTCCCATTTGATCCAGCTATTCCCTTTCTAGGTATCTTCTTGGAAAAATTAAAAGAATCATACCACAGTGATATAAACCAGCACCCATGTTTATAGCAGCACAGTTTATCATAGCTAAATCTTGAAAACAACTCAAATGCCTATCAACTGAGGAATGGATACAAAAGATATGGTCTTTTTATACAATAGTATACTACTCAGCCATGAAAAAAGGATAAACTTGAGATACGTCCAACTAAATGGATGCAACTTGAGACCATACTTCATAAGTGAAATAAATCAGACTCACATGTATAAACATTGTATTGTCTCTCTGGTGTGAGAAACTGAACGAATAAATAAAAACCAAAATGTACAACAGACACTGTGAAATGGGAAGAAATTGTTCAAAAAGAATGAGGAACTAGGGTAAAGAAAAGGGGAAAGGAAGGAAGGGAAAAGGAAAAAAATATAAGATAGTTACACTATTAGTTTCTCCAGTAGTTTACTGTGCTGATACCATTTGGAGAATTTTTTATGCCTATATCTTGTACTGTGAGTAACTGCTCTGAAGATAACAATATGCAATATATTAACTATTGTTATTCTCCTATTACTTTGTTATGAAATTTTGTTTTATTTTCTCTAGAAAATAAAAAAAATATAGTACAAAGTGAAAAACAACATAGCTCTAAGAGAACATATGAGAGGTGGAGAAATCAG